CTCCTTTCCTCCATTCTGTTGATTTTATTTGCTATCGAAATTCTGAATTCGATTTTTGACATCTTAGCCATTTGTTTATGAATGGGATCTTGTGCATTCCCTGCCATATCATTCCTTGGGAGAGTTGATCTATTCTGATTGTTCATGTTGCCAGAGTTTTTCCACTGCTTCCACCTCATGATTGTTTTTTACCATTAGCTAGATGGGCAGGTAAGGTGAAATTGGATTGGGAGTTCATGGGGTTGTGGATGACCAGCTCTTTGTCAAGGATCTGGGACTGATGGCTGCAGCTTATTCCCTATATTTTTGTAAAGGACCCATACATTATTAAAGTCTGAGGTTCAGGAAACCTCAGATTGTTTAGTGTGGTGGGGTTAGGTGGCTCTATCTTGTATTCAGCTGGTTCTTGTCTGGTCTTAGTGGATCAGTGACTTTGCTGAAGTCTTAACTATGGAGAAATACAAGCAATTAAAACAGCCCATCCCTGTGGACAACAACTGGAAGAGGAAAATCAACCCTTCCCATTACCACACAACCAGGCTATCATCTGACAGAGTCCTTGGGAGACTGGCCCACATTAGGAGTTCCAAACCAATTGACCCAGTTAGTATGAAGTCTCAAATGGGAAGAGTTCGAAAGGTCTCCAGCAACTAGATGGTGGAGGTCTACTAGCTGCTCAAATTTGGCTTGCTCCAATGCTCTGTGGAGTCAAAAATGACCACCTGGTAGCAGAGTTGGACCAGGGGGCTGTGTCTCTTTCTCCACTTTGCTCCTCTTTTATGCCCAGACACTGGTGACCCCACAGGGCTGCTTCCTCCAATAAGCAGATGTGCTGGGAGGTTGCGCCTGTCAGAGTCAAAGGAATGTCAAGCCCCAGCAGTCCAGCCACTACCCTTTGCTACCAGCCAGCTGGGGGAGCTGAGGCCTGCCTGCCTTGGGTACTCAGTAGCCACAGGCAAGTATTCCACTTGGACTCAGTCTAATCCTAAGGATAACAAGTCAGCAAATGCTTTTCTCCCTCAGCCAGAGAGCCTTAGCCCCTGCCGCTCGGCAGCACCAATATCCCTATAGAGCAAGGTCTGGTTTCCTCCAGCAGTCCTCAGAGTTGGGGAGGTGTCTCTCCAAGATTAGACTCCAGAGGGGTTGCTGTATTGTTACCAAATCTTTGTGGGAAGTGACCCTGTGCATCTCCCAGGCAACTGCCTCTGCCAGAGAATGTAGGAGCAGCTCCAGGAGCACAGGGCACATGGATCCAGCAGCAGGGCGGGGGACGTTGCACACAGTTCTGGCAGTTCAGGGCACCTGGTGACTTCGACAAGGAGAGCACTCAGTCCACAAATCTGGCAAGGCAGAGCACAGTGTGGAGGCTCCAGCAGGGCAGGGTTCAGGGTGTGGGGCACATGGTTCTAGCCAGATGGAGTGCTGGGTGCTTGCTCTGGCAGGGCAGGGGGCTGCTCATGAGCCACCTCCCACAGTCTCTACAGGGGTTAGGCTTCTGGAGTGTCAGGCAAGGGGGGAAGGGTGGACTGGAAGTTCAGAATGGCAGGGAAAATGTTAGTTCAAATTTCTGCCTGGCTAGGGAGTTTTCAGAATCACAACAGGGTCCGTCTGGGGAAGTAGACCCCACTTCCTACAGCTCTCACCCATAGGGTGAGACAAGAGGTCCTCAGTTCACAGCTTGCCTGTAGAAAACCTAAAGGGGCAAATGAAGAGAAAAAGAAAAGAAAAACACAACTTTCTTGGGGGAGGAGACAGACACTTTTCCTTTGGGATGAATTGTGTACCTGAAATTTGCTTTCTTGGAGTCACAGCTTGCCTCAACAGAGGTGACCAGCAGATATCACCCTTCTCTCTCAGTTGGGCTCTCAGTCTTCAGCTTCATTGGGTACTTTCTGGACATTATCCTTCTCTCTGGACAGGAGTTTCTGTTGGAGGCTGGCTCCAGACCGCCATCTTGCCCCTCCCCCCTGTTTACTCTTCTTGATTCTTTTTCTCTCCATTTTTGACTAACTGGGTTAATTTGACAGGCTTGTCTTTAAGCTCTGAAATTCTTTCTTCTGCTTGGTCTAGTCTGTTTTGAAACTTTGCACTATATTATGATCTTCTCTGACTCTGTCATTTTGATATATTCCGTTATGCTTTTTCCTTAAAATATCCATCTCTTCAGTGAATTCTTCCTTAATGTCCTGATTTTGGGAGTATTTTTGAGACAAAAACTTACTCTGTTGCCCAGGCTAAGGTGTCATGGTATCAGCCTAGCTCCCAGCAACTTCAAACTTCTGGGTTCAAGCAATGCTCCTGCCTCAGCCTCCTTAGCTAGGACTGCTATAGGCATACACCACCACTCTCAAGTCATTTTCCATATAGCATCTGGAGGGCTCTTTAAAAATGTAAGCCAGATCATGTAATTCCCCTGCTCAAAAACTTTCACAGGCTTTCTTCACACTTAGAATAAAATCGAAAATTCTCACTACAAAAATAGTGTCTTCTGGGTAATCATTACAAAGAGTTCTTAGCCTCAAACTCTCTTTCTCCCTTTACTTCCCACATGTAATTGATTGTCAAAATTCATCAATTGACTTTCAAGCATCTGTAATATTCTCATTGCATTTTTCTCCATTTCTATTGCTGTCTTGCCTTGTTTCAGGCAAGAAATAATGGCTAGACATTTTTTGGTCTGTCTCACACAGTTTATTTAACAATAGGTAATAAGAAATCAAATTTAACAGTCTATACAGTGATCCAAAGTCCCTATCTATAAGTAATCAACTTTTATTGCATGATTTACAACCGTTGAGGGTTTTTGCTTTCTATTGTCAAGTTCTATGGAAAGTGTGTGTGTGGGTGGGGGCAGGGTAAGGAGAAAGCAAGCAAGCAAACAAACCACAGGAGCATTTTACATGTTAAAATCATCCCACTGGAATCATTTCTTACCCTCTTTTTAATTTTTTCCTTTGTTAGATGTAAAAATAATAAAAAAAATTCTTTCAAAAAACAGAATCCACAATATATAATACACCAATTTGGCAGCTGCCCCTGTATATTTTTGAAAAAGTCATTTTTCTTTCTACATGTACAAATTATTTTAATACTTGAGTTTTACGCTCAGAATACAGAATAAGCTGTGTTCTCTCCACTCCCTGATTCCAGTCTTCTGCATTTTACATTTGTTAAAAACAGAGTCAATGTTTGAAACCCATATGTGATCATGTCACTTTCATGATTCTATCCGACTACTGCATAAAGTCCAATTTGGGACATACAACTCTCTTCATGATCTGGCTCTTACCTCCTTTTTGGCCTTACTCCCACTCAGCAAAATATACTTCCATGACAAAATTATTAAATGTCTTATACTTTCCTGGAATTACCTCTCCCTATGCTGTGTTACATTTTAAGAATTCTCTCCTTTTTTACCATTCCCAGGAAATGAGTCACAACCTCTAACAAGCATCAATGTATACTTTAATTATGCAATGCAGCACATATATGGCAATTATTTGTTTATGGCCTATTGATTCCACTAGAGCAGATTTTCTAACATGGGGTCCCTGCATGAGCTTCAGGAGCAAGCATCAGGTGGAACTATCCATCAATTCTCTAACATTGATCATACAACTTTGTATGAAAATTTTACTTGCATTGTCCTGGGAGGAAATTTAATCTGATCCTCCATGACCCATAATGGATAAGAACAAAGAGATTCTTGAGAGAAGAGATAAGTTTTGTTCATCTTTTTCTTCTTTTACTTATTTAGTTTTGTTTATTTATTTATTTATTGTGACAGAATCTCACTATGTCACTCTTGGTAGAGTGCCATTGCATCACAGCTCACAGCAATCTCACACTCTTGGGCTTAAGCAATTATCTTGCCTCAGTCTCCCTAAGAGCTGGGACTACAGGTGCCCAACACAATATCTGTCTATTTTTTTTACTGCAGTTGTCGTTGTTTAGCAGGCCCAGGCTGGGCTTGAACTCACCACCTTTGGTGTATGTGGCCGGTGCCCTACTCACTGAGCTACAGGCACTGAGCCATCTTTTTCTTTTTTTAAAGAGGCTAGTCTCAGACTCCTGGGCTCAAGTGATCCTCTTAAGGATCACTTTTAAAGAGGCTAGTCTCAGACTCCAGGGCTCAAGTGATCCTCTTGACTTAAGTAACTTTGAATAAGCGTGTGTGACACTGTGCTGGGCCCTCTTTAACCTCTGTATCTCATGCCTATTATATATTTCATAGAACAGAGTTAAATCAACAGTACACAACTGCTTGTGTACACTAGTAAATATACACAAATAAATACATAGAAGCAACGGATATATTATTTGTATATTGTTTGGTCAAGTTTCCTTAGGACTTCCACCAAGCAACATACTTGTTACCCTCTATATTCCCTAAAAATATTAAATTTTCTTGAAAAGATTCTAGAAATTCTAGTTATCACCAATATAAACTCACTGAGTCTCACCAGTCTCTCAGTCTAAGCTTAATCATTACCTTAGGTTTCTGAGGTTTGTTTTACTTTAAAATGTCATACCTTCCTTTTAGTTACTTCTCATCCAGCCTGTAAAATGTCAACTCAACAGATTTTTTATAATAACCCAGATAGATAGATAAGTACCTATGAGGGTGTGTCTCTGTAGAAAGACTTATGTTATTTCCAGGTTCAAATGCTGCATTACTCAGTAACTGGCTCTTTCTACCAATATGGAGGAAAAGAGACATAACTTTAGCAACTGCCATAGGCTGAAGAAACTCTGGTTCACCAGCAAAGTCAACAGAGAAGTTACCCCTAGGCAGGACATTAAGCCCAGCATTCCTACATAATAATTTCATTTAGAAAGCAATTATAATATCTACTGTCAGAATAAGGAAGACCCCTTAAGTACATTGGGAAAGAGACAAAGAAACAATTTTAGCAAGAATGTTTATAATGCCATTAGGTAAAATAAAAGAGAAAAAATGAACTATACAGGAATAAACTAACCCATGTTAGATTTCTTACCATCTTATAGAGATCTGAGACACTAATCTGGTCCGAATCCACTACTTCAAAGTCCTTCCGAGGCACCAGGTCCAGGCCCAAATGCCTAGTAAAGAGAAAGACACTTAGCATGTCACATCCTCAGATTACTCATCTGTTTCTGCACCTGAGCTGTTTCTACAACTGCCATGATCTTGTGGACAGAGGTTCAGACACTGTCCCAGCAGAAACATGTATTATCCAGCAATATCTAATTGGGTTTACCTTTGGGTAAATGAATAAGATCAGGGATTTTTAAGTCATCAAGCAGTTCCATTTATGAAGGTAAAAAAGGTTTCATTCAGTATTCACATTTATACAGTGCTTGAGTTCATTAAAGATGGGTTTTCTTAAAAAATCAAAAAGTCATATTTACTTTCCTATTTCTCCCCAGTCTGCAAGCATACACATAGTTCAGTTATGCATCCTTCAATTAGGATGAAAAAATTATTCAGGATCCACGTAGATTTGTAATTCAAACAACAAAAATCACTTCCTAAAATTACTAAACTCAGAGAGATGCAGTTGAGTTTATCTCATTTTCAATCTAATGCTCAAATTGGTAAAGACATGGTCATGTGCTAAAACCAATATCTTAAGAAATATTAGATAGAAGTTTAATCAAAGTGTATTACTACTCAAGACAAGATCAAGAAACTCTGGTATAATGTGGAGCAGGAAGAAAGAAGTAATGTTAATTAATGATTGATTGGGTGGCAGTATTAGACAGTGGAAATAATGCTAGACATAGCCAGAATCCTTGGGTTCAAATATGACCCATAATTTACATTCAATAAATTTCAGCTCCCTTCTGATGCTCTAGGACAGTGGTTTTCAACCTTGCTAATGCTGCAGTGTATTTTCATTGTTAAAAAGGGGTCACAACCCACAGGTTGAGAACAGGTGCTCTAGGACAATAGTTCTAAACCTGGAACTCAATGGAGTTAGAAGGTTATGAATCACTGAAACTGCTGGATGAGTCTGTGTGTGTTATACATGATTTTTTCTCAGAGAAGAGAGTTTATATCTCTCAACAGGGTTTCAGATATGCTTTGTTACCAAAACAAGAATTATAAAATTGTGTCTGGCAAAAATATTTCACAGGATTATGGGAGGAGTATCATTACTTTTCCTCTTCAACTAGACTATGAACAATCTTTAAAGCTTTAGCAAAATAATTCTATAGGTTCTTTCTATACATAAAACTCCCACTCATTTAAAATGAAATCAGATATCCAAAATATAGATTTTATATAAATTCACATCTTGTTTACAAAAAAAATCTGAAGAGGTTAAACAAACTGCAATAAGAATGGATGTGTAAAAATGGAAAATCAAACCTATATGAAGAAGCTAGAAGCAAAGATACTAATAACATATGCTAAAATGATTCCTGTAATTAAGAATTAAAATTTATGGGCAGTGCCCATAGCTCAGTGGGTAGGGTTCGAACCCAACCTAGGCCTACTAAAACAAACAAACAAACAAAAAACAAAAAATAGCCAGGCAGGCTTGGCGCCTGTGGCTCAAGAGGCTAAGGCACCAGCCACATACACCTGAGCTGGTGGGTTCGAATCCAGCCCAGGCCCAAACAACAATGACCGCTACAACCAAAAAATAGCCGGGCGTTGTGGCGGGCACCTGTAGTCCCAACTACTTGGGAGGTGGAGGCAGGAGAATTGTCTGAGCCCAAGAGTTGGAGGTTGCTGTGAGTTGTGATGCCACTGCACTCTACCCAGGGCGACACCTTGAGGTTTTGTCTCAAAAAAAAAAAAAAAAGTAGCCAGGCATTGTGGTGGGTGCCTGTAGTCCTAGCTAACTTGGGAGGCTGAGGCAAAACAATCACTTGAGCCTAGGAGTTCGAGGTTGCTGTGTGCTGTGACACCACAGCACTCTTTAAAAGAAAAAAAATTAAAATTTACATGTGTACTTTCTAATAGAGAAGAAAAAAGAAAAACATTTTTCTATTAAAGGATAAAAACTCATGTTTTCTATTAAAGAATAATAAGGAAAAACATCATTTGGAACAAAATCCTAAAAATAACTCAGTTTTGCATAATGAGAAGATCAATAATAGACTGTTTGCCACATCCACAATAGAGTATGGTTTTATGATTAAATTATGCTACTGAATCTGTCTCATTATTGAAGTTAACTACATTTAAATCTGTAAGAGATTTTATTTTTCTATCATTGAGATCCTATTTCCTTCTATCAAAGACAGACTCTGTTCTATCACCTCTTATTAGGTCTCATTCATTTTTTTTAAATTTCAAAATGTTGAGGAGGTACAAATGTTTTGTTACATGAATAATGGATACGTTTTATAATCCTTAAGTCAGGGTTTTTAGTGTGCCTATCACCTGAATAGTGTTCACTCTACCTGCATTATTAGCTATTTGTAATTTCTCTGAAACAATTTCAGGCCTCTAGCTTCTAACATTTATTCCATGCAAAGACAGGAGTATCTATAGAGAGCAAGAGAAAACTGGAGCACATCTTTTTTACCCCTTTTCTCATAAAAATAAATTTTAAATTATGAGATTCAGAGATAAAACACAAATATTTAAAATATAGTTACATGTATATGATAAAACAATGGAATGATCAGAAGGATGATATTAGCATTTGCATTAGGAAACTTAAATTACAAAATTCATCATTGTATTGTATTATATTGTCTTTTTGTTTTTGAGATAAAGTCTTACTCTATCACTCTGAGAAGAGTGCCATCGTGTCATAGCTGATAGAAACCTTAAACTCTTGGGCTTGAGCAATCCTCGTGCCTCAGCCTCCCGAGTAGCTGGGACTATAGGAACCTGCTGCAATGTCCAGCTAGCTTTTTCTATTTTTAGTAGAGATGGGGTCTCAATCTTGCTCAGGATGGTCTTGGACTCCTGAGTTCAGATGACCCACTCGCCTGGGCTTCCCAGAGTGCTAGGATTAAAGGTGTAAGCCACCAACCCTGACCTATATTGTATTTTTTGAGACAGGATCTTGGCTCTGTCACCCATGCTAGAGTACAGTGGTATCATTATAGATTACCAAAACCTCAAACTCCTGGATTCAAGTGATACTCCTGCCTCGGCTTCCCAGATTATAGGCATGAGCCACTGTGCCCAGCTGAAGTTAATCCTTTAAAGTATTTTCCAAATTTTCTGTAGTTACTGTAAATTTAAAAAAAGAAAATTGAAAAGAAAACATTTCACACATACTCTGTTAACTATTGGAGGTATATATATATATATATATATATATGGAATAGTGTATTACAATTAGGAAACAAGGAAAGGACTCAGTAAAAAATCCAATCACACTGATATTCTAGATACAACAACTTAAGTAAAATGCAGGTTGCATCGAAGTTTGTAGAGCTAGGACAGAATGTATGCGTTCTGTGGTAGTGTATAATGCACAGTGATCAGCCTGTCTGGAGATTGCCATATATGAGAAGTCCATCTTAGCATTATGGTTATCACTAGTTTGATTATCTGGTCAACCATATAGCCATCTACTCAATCCACAGATACTTTCTGATGACCTATCATGTACTAGAGCAATTATGCAAGATAAATCAGTAGGCAAATTAGTAGTTTTGAGTTAAGCAAATGTTCTTATTCATCATGCTAACCCTCTCTTGAGAGCAGAGTGTTTTTCCTTTTTTAGAAGTAGCTACCATTTTTGTGATACTTTGCTAAGAAGAACACTGGAAAGATTACCTATATGGTCTGTCTAACAAGGGTACAAGTGAACTTTTCTAGAACTAGAGTATAAATGTCTTAACACAATAACTAAGTAAATGACACAAAGTCTATGTTAACCAGTTTGATGAAAATATTTCAAATTATATATGAAAACACTACACTGTACCCATGTTTGCATTAATGTATACAGCTATCATTTAATAATTTTTTAAAAAGTAGCTACATCATGGTACCTTATTCTTAATTTCATTATCTTGGGAAATAAGTATAATGGTTATTATACAAGTGGGTGATCTGGTAAAACCAAAGATAATTCCTTCTACTAAGCCCATCTTTAATGAAGAAAGAATGCTTTACAAAAATTAAATCAGTGACTGCCCTCATAGGGAAAAAAAAGGCAGAGATATTACATAGTGAGAAGCAATACATACATGTTCAGTGCAAACTTTACCCTAAAACAGATGTTCCTGGCTATTTATCCCTATGGTTTATTATAAGAATAGAGACAGTAAGGACAAGGAATAATCAACATGACCTCTATCTTCACAGCAAATAAAGGGAGTGTATCAGAGTAATTAGGAACGTCGGCTCTGATATCGGATTGCCTGGTTTGTATTATCAGATTGGCTGGCTTGTATTATCCTGGCTAAAGATTGTCTAATCTTTAGACAATATGACTTGATAGAATAGGCTGTTATAAGGATTAGTTCATGTAAAGCACTTAGCACAGTGCCAGGTATTATGAACTTCCATTGCTGCTATAATTATTATCACTAGGTTACATCATGAGCCAAAATATGACTTAAAGTACAGGGATTGTGATCAAAGACATACAGTGTCTAAATAAAACTCTTTAAATAGACACAAATAGGGAAGCAAACATCTAGGTACATCCACATAGAGTTCTAATATAGAGCTGAATTTTCTATTAATAAAATAGTCTTATTAAATGCTTAAGTGAACAATCTTCACAAAAACAGTCTTTCCTTATTCATAATTGATCACTCATTCATTCATTCCAATAAGTCAATAAATACATGTTAGAACCTATTCTGCACTGAGTTCATGTTGAAACTGGGAATATAGCAGCAAATGAGGGACCGACTCCTGACCCTTCATTCTTTCAGATGGAACTCTCTGAGGCCACACATCTCTATTCTCTCTAAAATATTTTAGAATCTCTTTAAAATACTTTGAATTTTACATTTATTTTTAATGAAAAGAATACTAAGCATTCTTTATAAATATTACATATTCTATTTTATCTTTTTCTTCTAAAATTCCTCATGTAAACCACAGAACATTAAAAATAATTTGAGGTTAATTAGTTACATACAATGGATGCTTTAGGGCATCAGGATTT